CCCCAAAACCCCAAAACCCCAAAACCCCAAAACCCCAAATTTAACCGATAATAAATAAAATAGAACTTTCTGTTCCAATACAACCTATCCAACCCCAGTATATAACAAAATGGAAGACCCACATAAAGTAATAAATGAGAGTGACTTTTAGAAGAGTTTTAGAACCCAGCAGAGTTGAGGCCAAGAGCCGAAGACAAGTATTATGGAGGTACTTGGTAAGGAAGAGTTGGGTGGAGGAGGTGGGGTAACTGTTAGTGATGAGTGATAGTGACATACCTGAAGTAGACCCTTGTGTTTAGAGAAGTTAAAAAATGGGTGCAGTAGTTGTAGATTTGGGAGTTTGGGAATTTAAGAAGTGGCTCAGAGAGAATCAAACTTGTGTTAATTGTAAAAATCATGGATATATAATCATGAATTTTATATAATGGACTCTTGCTTGTTTGAATTTGTAGCTAAGACATTCGGCCATAACACCCTTGAATAGTTTAGAATAAGCATTTAAGCTAACAGACTTCCAAATTTTTCTGGAATAAAAATAAGTTTTAACATAAAAACCCACATTTAATCCACTTTCGAAATATAAGGATTAAAATGATACGTGATTCTTTGTCTAAGAATGTAGGAAATATAGGTACATTATAGTCTTATTTTCTTTTCTAGCAATCCCAAAGCCAGAACCTCATCAGCCAGAGCAAGAAGTTTCTCAAGAGCATAGGAAAAGTAAGATCATAATAATTGTTGTATAGAAAGACAGAGTAAGGTTTACTTCTTTCCACCAGAAAGTTCGTCTGTCATACCTATCCTGAACTTGTTGTATCTAAGATGTAGAAACTACTACTGTGAAACTAAAACTCACAGACTTCAGGAAAGAGTTCCATTTGTCTCCAAGTCCAAAGAAATCACCAAACAAGTTGGTTAGCAAGGATGGCAATAAACTCAATTCCAATGTAATTGTAAGTTTTAGATAAACCATTAGAAGAATGGAAAGAAATCACAGAGCATGAAGTTCGGTAAGCCCCATTGTTATCTTTAGATTCAAACAAAATCCCATCTCATGGCCAAGACAAATCAAACTACTTCCAAGGCTTCGAACTTTCACGTATCTTCATTTGTAATAATATCTAGGAATCGATGAATCCGAGAAAGAAGCCGTAGACAACGAAGATGGTGATTACTTCAAAGTACTTTTACTATAACCTGTAGATCAGTGAGAACAGTGTTGGCTTTGACACTGATGCAGAGCTCGACAATGATATGAAATTGTCCGTCCAGACTCAAGGCTCAGCAGAGTATGAAGTTTCTTATTCATTCTTAGGAATAGTATCAAGAAAAGACCAGGATCTGTGAACAAAATCACCAACATAAAGTCTACATTTTCTCAAAACAAGTCTCCTAATAACGAAAAGGCATGCAGGCTGATTACTTTGAAGCTTGAAGAGTTCAAACAATCTACAGGAGCCAAGCCGTCCAAAGACTCCAGCAGCTCTGAAGAGTACAAGGAGTCACCGAAGAGTAAGCCCAGAGTCGTATCAAAGCACTCTCACATCTGGCTTCATAACATCAAGGGTAAGTACTTATCATGATTTCTCTAGGCAATAGCATGAAAGTTGCAGATACGCTCAAGGATCTATCTCCAACAAAATAAGGTTGCTCCTAACATATCTTCGTTGGTCAAGAACTTCCGTATCGACATTTCGCAGATTCATTACAAGAACGACTTGAAGCACTTGGTGTCTATTTGCGAAGATGTAAGACAGAAGAAGCTCCACGAAATCAATGGAAATGAGTTCACTCAGTTCCTTGAAGTTCCTGGAATTAGTAAAATTCAGAGACTTGCTAATGAAGTCAAACAAAACCTCGTCCAAGTGCGTAGACGTCGCAAGAACTCTGAAGGGAGTTTAGATGAACAACGTTCGCTCGTGTACCGAGTTAACATATTGGCTCTAAACTTAAAGACAGCTATTGAAAAATAAACTTATCAAGCTCAAAATGCTTATCAAGCAGAAAGAAGCTCATCCAAGAGTTGGAGAATGAGCTGAGCACGAAGCTGATAAGGATTTCTCTATTCCAGCTATTTCTCCGACAAACAAGTCCACCGGTATCAAACTGAAGCCAAAAGTTAGGTCTAATTCCAAGGCTAAGCCCAAGTTGCTCAATCATCGTGAGTTGAGACAAACTCGGCTGCTGATGGTAAGTTACTCATGACCTGTAGGGACTCAAGAAATCAATCTATAAAAACCTTCAGAATCACGGGTCTTTTAGACCAAGAGACCCTCACTTGGGGGTAAGCCACCACAAAGTTTCCCAATCTACCAATTTCGGATGCCTGAAGCTTCCTGAAGTGAAGTCTCCAAAGAAGTCTCTAAGGAGTAAGCTAAAGGATAGGCTAAGAACAAAGAGAAGGGTGCATTTGGAGGACGTCCGAAGGTCAATTGAGCCACCCATGAATCACCCTTTATTATTTTAACGATTCGATATCTTTCTATATCAAATAATTTCTCAGGGGTTTTGGGGTTTTGGGGTTTTGGGGTTTTGGGG